ACGTGGCCCCCCCCCTGCTGCCCCCGCGCCGCCACACGCGCTGGCGCGTGGTGCCTAAAGCGATAACGCTTCGCCGGAATATCTCAACATCTCGGCTCAAGACTCCTATCCTAGGTAAAACACCCTATTTGGAGCCACTTTTGTTCTTGGACCAACCCCAAAAAGTGGCCGGAAATGGCCGGAACAGTGACTCGAAAACCGGCTGAAACCTAACTCGTAAATCGAGCTATTTACGCTAGAAATTTCTGAAATCCTACCCAACCAGCAGCTAGAGTATGAAAAATAGCTAGAAAACCATACCTCACTCGTCCGATTTGGTGGCCGGACGACGGAGAACGAACGCTTGGAAGTTCTGTCAAAAACTGTCCAGCGCCGCCTGTTTCGTGGCTGATGGCTGTTTCCGGCGACTATAGCGGCGGATCATGGCGGCGAAGGGCTGGGGTTGGAAGCTTCGTTACAACTCCATTTTGAGTCCACTACATGTCTACGGACTCGTTTTGTCGCGCTCTACGCAACAGTACAACTGGAATCCTCAAATTCCTTCCCGGTCCAAAAGTCAACTTTTAAACTACTAAAATATTCTAGGGGTATTTTAGTCTTTTTCTCAAATAAATTAATAATTAAATATTAATTTTAGGTTTGGGTTATTACATGATTCCTGGCTTCATTCCCTTTTCAGAAAGGTATCATGGACCTCAATCAGAGCTCGAACGACAAAACTGCAAATTCCCGCTACGTCCCTTCTACTTCCACTGTTTTTATGCATCAAAACCGAATAACAGCCCCATACTAGTTACATGCCTCTTGAAAACATTATTTGGTAGCCCTTTATTGAATGTAACAGCCCCATACTAGTTACATACATCTTTACATTTAATAGACTACCATTTTTCCAGAACAAACCGTCATCTTTACTTCATAATAGATGACCCTTTTTTAAACAAACCATCATCTTTACATATAATAGACGACCTTTTTTTTAAAAAAAAAAGGGTCGTCTTTACTTCATAATAGACGACCCTTTTTTAAAAAAAACCGTCATCTTTACATATAATATACGACAGTTCTTTCAAAACAACCATGTCTTTACCAAAAAAAGGACACTTGATTTTTAAAAGACGACGCTTGTCATACCTGCTGTCGTTGTTTTTTGGTCAGATTTTAACTCTGAAGAA